TGCAAAATTGAATACCCCACACGGCACATGATCTTAAAGCACAGTACAGCAAGTCTGAAGACTCACCCATGTTACCAGGTGTTTAACATTCCACAATTTTAAGAATCTTAAGTGTTACAAACTTGGGTCAACTTACAGAAAACACAGTACTGTTGGCAAAAAATTATTCAATTTGAATGTTTTTATCCACTTCTTTAAACCTCATCTAATACTAAATGCTGTGTGACTTCAAGTAACGGGAAAGCTAATAGAGGAAAAAGATGTAGTTCAGGAAGCAACAAGAAGCCACCTGAAAGAAAACCAGGCATTTGGAAATCTAGGTTTCAAGTGATTGTCCACCTATAGAAGCACGATTATGTACACAAAAACCCCAAACCTCTCCTTTTTTCCAAGTGATTAACAAAGATACACTAATGTATTCCAGCTTTTCCAAGCTGTTTGCCTGAATCTGAACTGGGACAGTCTCTGACAATCCATTACATTAATTTTTTTTTGGTGACACAAATATTGTCATTCTGATACAAACAATCTCATTGCAGCTTCTGAATTTTTGCCACAGATAGAATCAAAGCAACAGTCATTACGGAATCTCTTTAAAATGTGTTACTAATTAGAAAATTATGCCCCTGTCATTTGAAATAATTAACTTGAAATTGTGGATCCTACATTTGGAATAAAGAAGCGTTTTCCCCATTTCAGCAACTCTTTGAAATATGATAAACTTAAACCTTCCAAAATTAAATGTGATGAGCTCCCCCAAAATTTCTAACCAGCACCTTTAAGAGACATTCACTGCCTACCTGAACCATCACTGGAGACTGAACTCGCATTAATTCCAGAAAGGCCAAATAAGGGACATTCTCGATCGGTGTTTACATGACCCCACTTGTGGCATTTAATACACCTCACATTCCGCACCTAAAAGGAAAAAAAAAATTGACATAATTTAGTTAACAATACAGTTTAACATTTACAGAAATGTTTATGTTATTAGGCATAAGAGAAGCTTTTAAACTCACTGAGAAACAGATGATAAAATTAAGAGAGTCCATGTGAATGTTCTGCAGTTAGATAATATTTGAAATATACCCAAGACATCCACAGAGTGAAATTTATGTAACTTGCCTGGATACCAAATGGCTGATCTCTGATATTCATGTCATCCTTAGCATATCTGTTACACAAACACAAAAGAAAACAAATACTCAATTCGCCTTTTTTTTTTTTTTTAACCCATCATATGCTAAACTACGTTTTATTATTAAGTGAGCATCCATTTCAGAGATATACTTCCGGTAAATGTTAGTTTTAATGTGTTTTCAAATATGGATGTAAAATTCAAACAAAACCTAAACTGATCAAGGAAATAGTTCCAGGTTTACAGGTTTTACTAATTAACTGCTAGGACATGACAGGATTACACAAGTGACCTGCTCTAAAATAAAAGGCGGGGGAGGGGGGGGGAGGGGGAAGAATATGAAAGGTAAGTAAGAAGAAAAAAAAAATTATTCAGATAAAATCCAGACATCTTACTTTTCTCGAGGGGCAACTTTTTGCCATTCAAATTTGTATTCAGTCTCTCCTTCTTGCTATAAAACAGAAAATATGTTAAGAATGAATTTTTTTTTTTTTTAACACATTTTAAGTAAGTAGGAAGAAAACATAAAGAAATGATGTAATAAAATACCTCTTTAGTTTCCTCTTTGAATTTCCAGAAATCATGGAAAGAAAAGAAATGAGACATTAATTATACATGTAAAATGCAGCTGGTGTCTAAGCTGGAAACAAAACATTTTATGGTTTATACTAATACAATAGTGCAAAGACTCAGAAAGTATTTAAACAGAGCGCACTTACAGATAATCAGCCTCTAGTATATGGTTACAAATCCTGTAAAACCAGAATCATCTTTTAAAACTCTATTGATTTGATACACAAATACAGAAAACTTTAAACTTTTTTTGCAAAAGTAGCAACAATACTTAATTTTAAAATCTTAAAAAAAAAGATTCTTTAGCAAAAATCACTAGTTTAAAATTGCATTTGCTCTAAGCTTAAGGGATTACTTTAAGAGCTTTTAAAGTTAAATAATTGCAAAATTTGCTCTACAAGAATGAGCCCATCCAAGCATTTTCAAGCGTTTTCGTGCAAATGGGAAAGATGCATTTTAAAGGGAACATGTTTTCTTTTAAAGGGAATACGTTTTCTTACTTCTGCACTTACATTCAGATTTTGCTAAAATTAAGTGACTGATATGAGTATCCACCAGGTACTTAGTAACTTCCATTTATGAATCTACTAAATACAGTCATAGTCAGACCCCTCAGAGTCAGGTCAGCCAGCACTTTTGACTACAGATTCTCAGTATTTATCATTCATAAAACTTCCACCGGTTAACTTCTTGCTTTGGTATCTCCTATGCTTGACATGCATCAAGCTGAATTATGGGCAGAACTTCAAGCAAAAGTGACCTTGCTATTTCTAAAAAGGATAGTAGGCGAGAATACAGGTTTGTGTTGTCTGAGTCATTGCCTTGGTAAGGTCTAGTCGTCCTCACCCAATGGCTTTATAGTTGGCTAAAGAAACACTTTTGGTCAAGGACAGAATTTCTGCTGTTGCCAGGAAAGATATTTTATTTGTTTTTCCCTTCACATTGAACTGTTGCTTAAAAAAACAACCCCAACCATTCTCAGTTTGAAAGAAATTAAAATATTGTGAGATCAAAATTATTACATACTATATATCTCTGCATATTTGCACAGGAAGAACTAAAAGTCATACCTTCTAGCATTACCTCACTATGAACACTTTATTTTAAAATAAAAGACACTATGCTTATTTCTTCAGAGGGTTTTTAGCTTTGCAGTACTGTCTACTCACGATCAGGAAACCAGAATACCTTTCTTTGCTCCAGGTGGGGCCTCATACATGAAATTAAGACCGTTCTTCACACGCTCATCACCCATAAGCAATCTAAATAAAAAGGACAGAGTTTGGGGTGTTACACACAAAACATATACTTTGGTATTACTTATTAAAAAAAAAAAAAAAAAAGAAGAAATGTGCAGCAGGAAATTGTGATAATAACTGGCATTTTATTCATGTTAATTTGAGTACCAGAAGTTGAATATCATAAAACCTGAGAGACCAGTCAATACTTTTGCGTGCTCCATTGTGTACCAAAAAAATCACACATTTCAGTCACAACTGAAACATAACTCTGTGTCCACAGAATCATGGAGGACAGATTTCTGTGTGATCCGAATGTGTTGCTATACAAGGTTACCTGCTGTTCTATGCAACGTAACATATTTTGAAATTAATTACATGACACACACAAGCCATTTGAAAGAAGTTACTGTGACCTCTGCTTAATCAGACATCAATTTATGAGTCACTGTCCTCTCCTACTACTAAGGTCAGTAGGAGCCAGTATTTCAAGTAACTCACAATGTGATGTCCCCCCCCGCCATGAAAACAAGAGACAGCAGGAAGAAGTATGTGATCTTATGCCAATTCTCACCTATTATCATAGGATTCCTGTTCTTTAAGATACTGTTGCATTAATTCTTCTTGTTTCTTCTTATCATATGATATTTTCTGTTCCGCCATCCATACCTAGTTAAAACAAGTAAGTTTCTACTTTAAACAAATACAAAACCTACCACAAAACATATTAATGTGTAAATACTTAACTGGCTTAGTCCACTGAAAATATTTAACCAGGGAAAATTCCCATTCTAATCACATCAAATAAATTATTGTCACCCAGCATGTCAACAAATGAACTTCACACAAACAGCATTTTTGATAGGCTACAACTCCAAACAACGTTTAAGAACGGAAAAAACATGGGAACGTTTAGTAATGCAAAGGGAAAAGCAGGCTCAGAAAACACCCTGGGTGTGCCACCGTCTTCCCTGTAGCGACACTTCCTCACCTAAGTCTCACCAGACCCCAAATCCCAGGTTCTCTCGGGAGCTCCTGGAATGGTACGGTTCTGGGAAAGAAAGACCTGGAAGCAGGTCAAGGCAGGTATGAATACTGGGAAAACATGGGCACGCCGGGACAGATGGGGGCTTTCCTGGAGAGTGTCAAATAAACACTATTTATCCAGGCAACCAGCTATTGAAAAGCTGGAGCCAGGAAAAGGCGATCGTTATACACACCTGTGAGCAAGTAAACCTGAAGCTTCAAGCATTTCTTAACTTTTTTCCCTGCCTCTTCCTCGCCCGGTCCCACCACGGGAGGGCCGACATGCCCTACTCATGCCGCTGCGGTGCCCGGTGCCCGTCACCCGCCCGGCCCCCTCCCAGACCCCCGGGCTCCCCCGGTGCGCGGCGGACACGGCCTGACAGCCCGCCGAGGCGCCGC